CCGGTCCCCGAAGCGGCGCAGGTGGGCGCGGGCGGCCGGGCCTCTCCCCCCGCGCTGACCGCAGGCCGCCCCGCCCTCGCTCCCCGGGGAGACACGCTCCGGGGAGGACAAAAGGGCCTTGTGCGGGGACTGAGGCTCAGGCCCCTCCTCGCCCGCGGTGGCATCCTCGCCGCGCAGTGACTTGAATGCCAACCGCGTCCCCGGTCCTCCGCCTCCGCCCCCAGCCCGGCACCTGGTTGCCAGGGGACCCGCGCCGCCTCCGGGCGCAGCAGCCGAGGGGCAGCGGCCCCGAGACCGGGCGCTCTTCCCGTCCCCTCCCGGCGCTAGCATCACCCCCAGAGGTGGAGGCTTGACGGCAGGTCCGGATAAACACGGCATGAGATTCACCAAACGAAACGGAAAACTTCCTCCCCGTACAAACAGCAGGGCAGAACGCAGGCGTGCGGAGAGGATGGGGTTTGTAATCGGGGCTGGGATCTGAAACTCCCCGCTGCCGGGAGTGAAAGTTAATGGTCTTTCCGTACAGCAGTTTAGCGAGGTGAATTAAGATCCTTAACCACGGGGTGGGGCGTGGTGGGGCAGGTTCGTTTTCGCAGCACTCTGGGAGGCCGAGGCAGGAGGATTCTAAGTTAGAGAGCAGCCTGGGCAGGTGAGCCACTTAGCTTGATCTTATGTCAAAATAAAAACAAATTTAAAAGGGCTGGGAATGTAGCTCAGTGCGAGGATTTCGAGCTCAAGGCCCAGTATCGCTTAAAAAAAAAGTCAAAATTAGGAAATTAGGAAATTTCCCCTGGAGCCTCCCCCGCGCTGAATAATTACCTCAGACTCTGACTCAGGCCTGTGTTTTTCTCACCTTTTTTCCTCTCGCAACTCCCGCTGTGTGGTTTAGGTTCAGAAGCCACCAAGCTCTGATCTGAAAATAACTGACGTTCGCCAGACACAGCTGTAACTTTCCAGGCTGCGGCTCCCACATGCTTTGTGGATCCCGCTGAAAACTCACATTGACTTGGGGCTGGACCAGGGGACCTCTGCCAGGGAGCTGACAAAAGCTCCAAGGTCCTTGGCAGCGCCTTGGCAGAGCGGGGCTGCCGGTGAGTAACTCGGAGAAGTGTGCGCAACCCCTGCCCTCCCCGCCCTCCCCTCCTTCCATCCCTCTCCCTCGGAAACAGAAAGCACAGACAAGCTTCTATTTTGAACATTTTAATTAGAAAGTTATAACATTATGGGTTCTCTATACAAAACTGCATTAGAATAAAATGTAAAACAAATGCTAATCTTTAGCTGTCTTTCCATATCTCATTTAGACATTTAAACCAGAAAACAGTTTTCATTTATTTACTTATTTTTTGTCTTTTTGAGACAAGGTCTCACTATGCAGTTCAGGCTGGCCTTGAGCTCACTTTGTAGCCCAGGCTGGTCTCGAACTCGTAATGATCCTCCTGCCTCAGCCTCCTGAGTGCTGGGATTACAGGCGTGCACCACCATGCCCAGCAACAGTTTTCATTTAAATCTCAAGAAAAAAAAAATGCAGGCATCTAAACATCCTTACGTAGTACAAGAAAAGTCAGAGGAACTAGTGTAAGGGAATTTTTCTGCTTGACTATATTTCAAGGTATTATTTCTAAAACTCTTATTTTGGTGACAGGCATGGTGATGCATGCCTGCAATCCCACCACTGGGAAGGCTGAGGCAGGAGGATCTCCATGAGTTCAAGGCCAGCCTGGGCTACATAGTGAGCTCAAGGCCAGTTTGAAGTATGTAGCAAGATTGTGTCTCAAAAAGAAAAAAACAAAAACAAAAAACTCTTACTTTGGTCCGCTTGAAAGAAAAGGTGCTTTGGAAATAATAACTGAATCCTCAAGGTAAACTGAGGCACACACTGACGAGTGTTTGTAGCTGGGCAGGAAGTGTGGGTCACAGAGGGTGTCTCTTCAGTGCTGATGACATGCTGGGGACTGTAACACAGCCCCATCCGGCCTCTGAGGAGGCTGCACCCTTGCCCAGGGTGGGAATGGGCTGAAAAACCAATGTCTTCCGCACAAGAGGCCCTTTCTAGCCGCCTCCCTCCCTGCAGACAGCAGCTCAGCCAAGGGGGTCGTCCGGCTGCCGGACTGCTTGTCTTCCTGCTAACGGCCAGGCTGGACTGCATGCCGAGCCAGCCCAGCAGCCTCTTCAGCTCCTCCTGCTCCTCACGTGCCCCGCAAAGCTGCCCCTGTGCTGGGCAACCTGTTCTTAGTCAAGGGCAGCGCAAGGATCTGGGCTTCGCACGAGCCCTCCAAAGGAACGCTGTGGCCGTCGGGCAGCGGAGCCAACCCCAACAAAGCCTCCTCTGTCACCCACGTCCTCTCAGGAAGGGGGTGGGCTGTGGGGGGGGTGTCCAGGCTTTTGGGTGAGGGCCAGAGAAAGAACCTGTTGTTACAACCCTTGCACCACCCACCGCTACTGAGGGGCCCAGTGAAACAGCACTTCTGCTGCAGCCTGCAGCCAGGGGCGCGGGCCCGGGGCAGAGGCGCGGCAAGGAGCCAGCCATGGCAGGGCGGGCGCGAGGGCGGTTCAGCTGGGCTGCTGACGGACACTGCCGTCGGGCCGAGGGCAGGTGGACGGTCCTGGTGTTGCCCCCCTCCCCACAGTGTGCAGTGCTTGCTCTAGGGCCCGCCAGCTGAAGGGCTCCTTCTGGAAATCAAAGCTCTGAATGGGAACTGTAGATCCCCGGAGCAGAAGTTGCTCGGGATTTGCATATTCATCATGAGAGGCCAGAAAGGAGTCAGAGTGGATTACAAAAGGGAGAAGAGACGCCCAGTGCTCCCAGTTCAAAAGAGCGAGCGTCTCTGCTCGCCCAGAAATGGGACTCCTTCCAAGATGCCTGGACTGACTGGAAGGTTCTCCTGAAATTCAAGGGCAAGGCAAGCAAACACGCAAAAACCACGAATTATGGCCTCTGGAGCCCTCGGGCCTCCCCACTGCCCGGTGCCCAGTGGTTTTGGCCAGCGCTTGGCAGATACAGAACTGGGGTACAGCAGATGTGGAAAGAGCTGCGCCTCGGCGGGGAAGCCACACAGGGCCACAGGCGGCCACGGCGCTCTTCACACGACAGCGAGGGCCCGGGGCTGCCGAGTCTTCAGAAGCGGCCTTCTCAGGACAAGTGCTCCTTGTACAAGTCTCCCTGCGACGCGGCTGGCGCAGGGATCGTGGTCACCACCTGGTTCTGAAACACGAATATTTTGATTCTTTCAAACACCCAGAGGAAGACGAGCAGGATGCTGACATACTGAACCCAGGCAAACTTGATCATCTCCCAGAACCCCGGCTGATAGGTCAGGACGGTTAAGGAGAGGAGTTACACCGAGGGTTAGGTCAGACGGGAAACGGCAAGAACGTCTCAAATACCCTAAGATAAAGGGGATAATCAGGACTATTCAGGCATAAATATGGATGACCCTGACCTAGATAGAAGAGCTGCTCGGGAGCAACAGGAACGGGAAATGAACTGTTGTGCTGTAATGAACAACAGACAGGGTCATCTGTGTGGGGCAATTTCCAGCATAAGCCCGGCCACATGTGATCCTCCTCGGGACCTCTGAAGAACCCTTCCCTTCTTTGTGGAAACTGAGCCAGCGCTGGCTCTCTGTCAGAAAGGATATGAAACGACTTCCACAGGGTATCGAATGACGGCGTTCAGCACAAAGGGAGCTTCGGCGGCCCTGCCCACCAGCCAGATGGGGCTGGGGTTGCTCAGGACGGTGGTGACTGCAACACAAGCATTCATCGTTAGCCCAGGTGGCCCTCTGGCAAAGGAACACTGAGAAATACCAAAGGTTGGGTTACAAGGACTCTTTGATTCCTGGGTGTGTGTCGGGGGCGGAGTGTATTCTGCACCTCAGAGTTCAAAGAAACAAAAGGGAAAAGAAACTGCTCGCAGGAGGTCGCCCACATTATCTGTTAAAATATTTGCCAAAACCTTGGAAACAGTCTGAGTGTTCTACAGCTGCTGAAGAACTAACGGAAGGAATACTATTTTGCCAGTAAACATGTTCTCAGCCCTTTTTAGCAGTGTGGGGGAAATATATGTTATATAATTAGATAAATACGAATAATTTGGATCCCAGACTATTCCTATACTGTAACAGCTGTCTGAAAAAAAAATCTTCATATGGATAAAGAGTGAATGAAATAAAGGGAGAAGAGTTTTTTTGTAGGCCCGTGATTTTTAGTTTTGCTTTAAAAGTCCTCTTATTGGAATGCTGCTGCTGTTGTTTTGTACAAAATTAGGAAGAAGCTGGGCATGGTGGCATAAGTTTGTAATCCCAGCACTTGGGAGGCTGAGACAGGAGGATCACCATTGTGAGTATGGGGCCAGCCAGGGCTCCACAGTGAGTTCAAGGCCAGCCTGGACTATATAAGGAGGCCCCGGTCTCAAAATAAAACAAAAACAAACAAAATTAAGAAGGAATACAGCAATTGCAGGCCTCACCACTTGTGAAATGTCTCTGTGTTGTGTCCATGTGTCCGGTTGCCAAGTAACCCTTTGGTACCTTTCAGTCACATGGGGCATGTTCAGCTTGGTATGGCTTTGACGCCATGCCCTTAGAGAAAACCTCAGGCCTCCGGCCAGCCCAGCCCAGTGCAGGGTCAAGCACAAGTCTGGCCCAGGCCCTTGCCCTTCAAGAACTGACTTCTATTCTCTATGGACCACTACCGTGGGGTGATTCACAACCTATATCTAGTGAAAAATGCGGACAGCACATTGTCTTCGGCTTCTGTTGTTAGCGTGGTAGGAGAACAAATCAATTAGGCTTATGTAGATGTTACAAAAAACAACAGCAGCAAAGGAGGCCCATCAGGCCAGTGGTGGCTACACAGGGAAGAGATCTGGAGGCTGCAGCCCTGGAGTCAGTGGGAGGCCACGAGTGGGCGGGGAGACGAGGGCAAAAAGGACAAATGCCAGCAAAGCTGGTTTGGAGAGTTGCATGATGCCAGCCAGGGGTTCTCTGATTCCACTGCCCCCGAACCTGGCAAGTCTTTCAGCTCACCATTCCTTTCCTGGTAGGCGGCCACAATGCGGGTGAGGTCGTAGTCTTGGGCGAAAGGGCTGGTCCCGTTGATCACAGACACCTGGGACAGAGCCGGAGGTCTTGGTGAGCCCTGGAGACCCGGAGCCCCTCCTGCCCTCCGCAGCCTCGGGGTGACCGCACACAGCAGGGCAGCGCTTGTATCGCTGAGACAGAAACCAAACGCAGCAGCAACTGATCCTCAGGATGTCGGCTGGCAGGAGAGGCACCCTCAGGGACGGAACAAGCGGCCCCATAAGCTATGGACCCTGGCAGAGGGAAGGCAAGCCCAAAAGCCCCCAGACAGGCACTGTTTGTGGGGTCAGAGAACAAAGGGGCCAGAGCGGCTGAAACACAGGAAGGGGACAGACAGCCGAGAGCGGAGAAATGACAAGCGTAGGTATCTCGGGAGGTTGCCGGAACAGGCAAATAACATGTGCGTAAACCTTGTCTTCGTCCTTACCACTGGGGTCTAGCTATGTTGCCTAGGCTGGTCTCAAGTAGTCCTCCTGCTTCAGCCTCCTGAGGGCTGGGGCCACGGTGTACCCCACCGCACCCAACCGTAAACTTCCTGATTCAGGGCTGGCATATTACGTGTTCAATAAATGGTGGCCAGTATTATTTTTTAAATGTTTTACACGATCATTTGGAAAGCAATAAGCAATTTAGTTCATCAATAAAGACATTTTTCTCTCTCTGCATAGGTGTAAACACAGGGGACCTTCTCCATATTTTGAAAGAATTCATGGCAAGAATTGTTGTCTGTGTTCCCCTCAGAGAAATGCTATTTCCAGCTTTCATTTCTCCCCCTTCAAAGAGGACGCTAAACAGACAGAGACTGCGGAGCTGGACGCTCAGCACCCTTACGTTGTATCGGACGTCCAGGCCACTGTAGCTTAGCGGCTGCTTCTGCTGCAGCCTCAGGTCTCCGTTCACGTACAGCTGGGACCCGGGCACCGCGCAGGAGGACTGGATAAAGGCCATGCTCTGCATCACGAACGTTGACATCCTCTGAAATCAGGAGGAGAAGAGACAGTGCCCCCTGTTGTCAGATCTGAAGGGCTCTGGGTTCAAGAGTCACCTGTCTGCCGCTGAGGCTGAGCCTTTCCATCCCTGGCTCAGTTCTGCGGGAAGCACTTGGCCCAGAACCCTCTGGGCTGGTTCTCATTCCTGTGCATTAACAGGACTCCAATCAAGAGCAAGCCATTTGCCCAGATTGAGTTCCCAGTGACAGCCCAGGTCAGTGTGGTCTTCCTAGAAGGCAGGAGGCGGGCTCTGCTCTGCTAACAGGCAAGAGGGAGAGGGGGCCTCCCTCAGACCGACTCACGTGCAGCTGGTAGGAGAAGGTCAGGATGAGCTGCACGGCGAGGACGTGCTCAGTGGGCTGCAGGGGAAGCTCCAGTTTAAAATGCAGCACGTCTGTCTTCCCATCCTGGTTCCTGTCTTCTTCTCGAGTCTAGGAAACCCAAAGAGAGCCAGTGGCCCCGGTCTTTAATAAGTCCGGGAAGCGTCTGCATTGCTGCCGCACGTACACAGGGACCCACTGTCCTGCTTACGGGGGCATCATCACCTCCAACGTGGAAGGGAGAAGGGAAGCTAGAGGTGTGGGCGGGTGAGCCCTGGGAAAGACACACAGACGCACGGCCCCTCCGCTTCGCACTCGGGGCCCGCACAGGCGAACAGAATGGGAACTTGAGGTGGCGATAACCCCAGTCAGTATCTGCCTTGTTTTGTTACTGGTGTTTTCTTCTGCTTCTGCTTTTTTTTTTTTAAGAAACATACCTGCAATTGCATAGAAAGTTGAAATAGGGCTTGGCGTGGTGGCACACAACTGTAATCCCAGCACTTGAGAGGCTGAGACAGGAGGATCACAGTGAGTTCAAGGCCAGCCTAGGCTACATAAGTGAGTTTAAGGCCAGCTTGCATTACATAGTGAGACCCTGTCTCACCAACCCCCCTTAAAAAAAAACAAAAAACAAAAACTAAAGAAAATTGAAATAGTGCATCAGAATTGTTTACTGTTTCTCTAGGAGTCAGTGTTTTCTTTGTTTGAGGTGCTAACCCTGGGCCTCAAGTGTGCTAGGCACTTGTTCTGCCACTAGGCTATACTCCTGCCCCAAACCAGCTTTTTATTTTTTAACATTCTTTTTTTTTTTTTTACTTTTTTTTTTGTTTTTTTTTGGTTTTTCTCCGGTACCAGGAACCGAACTCACGACCTTGCGCTTGCCAGGCAGGCGCTTTTGCCGCTGAGCTAAATCCCCAGCCCCAAAACCAGCTTTTTAAAATAGGAAAACAAGAATAAAACAAAGCCCTAGTCATTATGCATTTCCCAAACAAACGCCACGGAAAATCTCCAAACTCTATTTATACATACTTAAACCACAATCTGCTTTGGGTTCTCCATGCAGGACCGTCTAGCTTATCATTCATGTCAGGACTTTAAGCCTTATGCATCTTTTTTTTTTTTTTTTGGTACCAGATTTTTTATTTGAAGGAATTAAAGAACTTAAGTAAATGTCTGGTACAATGTATGGAAAAGGTAAAGGTAACCCCAACATGCATGTGCTGCCTTAGTTCCGTTAGCTCTTGTCACTGTCCCCAGGGTGTGCTTGTCAAAGAGGTGCTCTGCCATGCCGGGCTTGGGGGCTCCCATCTTGCACAGATTGGCCACAAAAAACATGGAACACTTCATGAATCTGCGTGCCATCCTTGCGCAGGGGCCATGCTAATCTTCTCCGTATCGTTCCAATTTCAGTGTATGTGCTGACAAAGGGAGCATGCCTTTATGCATCTTTTACTAGCAATCAATAAAATGGGAAAGGAAGCTCTGCAAAATCAGCAAGGCATCAAAACTACATATATTTTATAAATTATGGACATACAAGTGAAGAAAAACAATAAAAATCTGAGGAGATCAAAAGGTAAATCATAGCTCATAAGTCATAGGCAGATACTTAAAAATAATCAGTATGGGCCGGGGATCTAGCTCAGCGACATAAGCGTTTGCCTGGCAAGCACAAGGTCCTGAGTTCGGTCCCTGGTACTAAAAACAAACAAACAAACCAATCAGTATGTAGCTGGGGTAGTGGTGCACACCTGTAATTCCAGCACTCAGGAGGCTGAGGCAGGAGGATTACTGTGAGTTTGAGGCCAGCTTGCACTACAAAGCAAGACCCTGTCTCAAAAAAAAAAAAAAAAAAGTCAAGTCTACTATGCAGAGCAAGTATTAGCCCCATGAAGAAAATTCATAAATGGCTCTACCTAATTCTTGTGAGATAGACAGGGGTGATCCAGAACTGTGTTTATGCCCACTGTCTGTCTCATCGGACCCCTCCACATACCCCCAGAGAGGAAGGAAGTGTGCTGCCCTCTAGATGGGTAAATTAAGGCTGAGAGACGGTTCAGAACTCAACCAGTTCTAACTGGATTAAGACCTAGGTTTGCTGACTGTTGATTCAGTGCTCCTTCTCTGACAGCTCGGATGAACCCTCATTTCCAAGATTTCTGGGGCTGGGGATATAGCTCAGTGGCATAAATGCCTGCGTGGCAAATGTGAGGTCATGAGTTTGATCCCTGGTACCGCAAAAAACCAAAACCAAAATAAAAAATTTCAGGTGGTAGAGTATAAGCCTTTAAAGATACAGGGGTGGGGCCAGGGATGTAGCTCAGTGGCATAAGCGCTTGCCTGGCAAGCCTGAGGTCATGAGTTTGATTCAAGCAGTCTGGGGTGGTGCATGCCTATAACCCCAGCAATCTGGGAGGCTGAGGCAGGAGGATTGCAAGTCCACACCCAGCTGGGGCAATTTAGTGACTTAGCGAGATCCTGTCTCAAAATAAAAGAACAGACTGGGGACATAGCGCATTGTGAAGGCCCTGGGTTCAATCCCTAGACTGGGGGTTGTGTGTGTGTGTGTGTGTGTGTGTGTGTGTGTAGTGTACAGAAGAAATACTAATGTATTAGAAAATGCAAATCAGGTCACCCATATCAGTAAGAGTCCAATCAGTAAAAACACTAACACAGCTACTATATTTTAACAGAGAGAATTGAGTCTAGAAAATAGTAATCTAGGTATTAGAGAATGAAAGCATGAAAGGGGGACAGCCTGGCCCTTAGCTAGAGAGGTCAGGGAGGAGGCCAGGGTCGTGGGAACCAGGGGCTCGAGGAGGGGCCCCAGGGGTCTGGCTCCAGAGCTCGAGGAGGACCCACAGTGCCCCGGGGTCCCCGTTTCTGCTCCTTGCTTGGTCACCCCAGCTGTCTCCACCTCTAGAACAAGGCTCCTCTTTGAGTGCCCTAACCTTCGAGCCCGGCTGTGAGCAGTGCCCTCTTTCCAGAGGGCCCTGACTTGCTACATTCCTCCCTGAGGAGATTCCACAGGATCTGATGTTTTGCTGGACTTTTGTTTCATTTAATGAATGTTAACTTCCCAATTTACTTTTTATTTTTTTTGGTGCTGGGGATTGAACCCAGGGCCTCCTGCAAGCAAGGCGAAAGTGCTATCAGAGCCACACCCCCCGCCCCCCAATTTCCTAATGCAGACCATGTGCATTTCATATGCTTGTCCTCCAAGGGTTCTCCTTTTTTTCCTTTTTTCCTTCCTCCCAGTTCCCCTTTTTTTGTGGGACTAGAGATTGAACCCAGGACCTCTGCACTGAGCTACATCTCTGCTCTTCCTGTCTCAGCCTCCCATAGTGCTCCATTTTTTTTCTTTTTATGTTCAAAATACACTTTGGCACCAGCCTTTGGGTCTCTGGCACAGTAGAAACTGTTACTTCATGGTTCCTAGATTTATCAAATCGTTGCCAACTGTATTTCAGTGAATCTAAAATTGCAACAATTATAAAGTACACCTTATTTTACATACCAGTATGAAATGAATACTTCCAATTCCTGAGACAATACGTTTTAATCACTTAGAGTACTTTCATTTTCACTTCTTGAAAGAGCTTTTAGATTTGGCACATTTATATCAGATATGATTATTCACAGGGAAATATAAGCAAAATAAATTGAGCCAAAGATTTTGAAAACTTGAACACCCCAATTCTTTTCTTTTTTGGTCTTTTTGAGATAGGTTCTTGCTATGCAGTTTAGGCTGGCCTTCAGCTCCCAGCAATCCTCCTACCTCAGCCTCTGGAATGCTGGGATTACAAGGGTGAACCACCATGCCTGGCTACTCCAATTCTTTTGAATCACATTTTTTTTTTTTTTCCTTTTGGTACTGGGAATTGAACTCATGACCTTGCACTTGCCATGCAGGCCCTTGTGCTGCTGAGCTATATCCCCAGCCCTTGAATCACATTTGAATTCAGTTGATGACACCAATACTTTTCCATGTAAACCTGTCCTTTCACTATCGAACATGCGGATGACATCAAATTTTTAAAAAAGTAATTCATAGCTGGGCATGGTGGTGAACACCTGTAATCTCAGCCATTATGAAGCTGAGACAGGAGAATCATCAGGAGTTTGAGGCCAGCCTGGACTACATCATGAGTTCAGGGCCAGTTTGAAGTATATAGTGAGGCCCTGTTTCAAAAAGAAAAAAAATTTTTAAAAATTTGAAAGAAAAAAGAAGGCAAAATAAAAATTTAAAAATAAATCAAAGCTGGGCATGGTGGCACATGCCTATAATCCCAGCACTCAGGAGGTTGGAGGCAGGAAGACCACTATGAGTTTGAGGCCAGCCTGGACTACAAAATGAGTTCAAGACCAGCCTGGGCTACAAAGTGAGTTCAAGGCCAGCCTGAACTGCACAGGGAGATCCTGTCTCAAAAAAGACAAAAAAAAATTTAAAAAACTCATAAAAGGAAGAAAGCTCCATTCACCATCTGGCCTCTTAAGCAGGCTTTGAAATGATACAGCGCTAGCCTATTTTTAACCACACCTTACACACTCTACAGTTGGTTCTTAGGGACTAATGTGGGTTTTTTGTGGTGGTACTAGAAGCCCTGGGCCTTCATACAAACCTATATCCGCAACCCTTTCTTCATTTTTTATTTTTGGACAGGGTCTCACTAAATTGCTAAGTTGCCCAGGCTAGGCTCAAGCTTGCCACCCTCCTGCCTCAGCTTCCCAGAGTGCTCAGATACGGGTGAGTGCCACAGCGTCCTGCTGGTGTGCTGTTTTACTGCTGCCTCTGGGGTTTTCTTTGACATTCTGATGGCTCTTGGGCAAGTTTTCACCCCAGCAGCCCTTCTGACATTTGCACAGGGGTAGGCAAAGGGCACTCCGCAGCTGCTTGTTAAGTAGGAAGGAGCAGTTCGGTGTTGGGGAGAAGGGAACATGGGGTGCTATGCAGTGCCGCGCCTCAGGCTCAGGCTCAGGCTCAGGCTCAGCCAGCCTCCGCCACCACCAAGGCCTTAAAGAGCCATGTCATCCTCCGTGGGGGAAAAGGTCACTCGGCTTTTCTCTGCTCTAGTTAACAACTAGACTCGAAGGCATTAAAAACATAGGGA